AGGATTTGGCTGGAGGGGAGCCTGTGAGAGCTCCGGAAGGGTGAGCATCATCAGAGGATCCTATTGAGTCCAGAAGCAGAAACTGAGTCAGAGAGAAGCACCTTCTCTCCCTGAGGGAAGGACTCAAGTGCCTGAGCAGCGGCCAGAGCCATGGGCAGGGGCAGGGGCAGGGGCAGGGCGCGGGCCTGAGGAAGCCGGGCTCTGGGTGCCATTGTGTCTCCTGCCAGTTGGTGAGGAAGGAGGCGGAAGGGGCCTGAGCCCAGACACCGAGCCCCCTGGTCTTCGGGAGCTCTGGAACAACCTGCAACCTCCTCTCTCCCTGCCCTCCCTTCCTTGCCTTTCTTCCCTGCTTCCACAGATGTTTTCTGCGCTCCTACTATGTGCCAGACAGTTGGAGGAACTGGCCACTTGGAGCATAGTCCCTTCCCCTGAGGGGCCCACAGTCTGGTGGGGGAGACAGACAAGTAAACGGGTAGTTTATGACGGAGGGATGTTGGGGCACAGAGGAGCCCCAGAGAGGGAGGGGTGGAGCAAAAGTCTGGCAGCCCCTGGCGGTGGGACCCGCCGGGTACTGTTCTCTGTGCTGGCAGGGTGGCTCCACTCCCTGCAGTCCTTTCGGTGCAGTGAGACCAGACAGAAGGACTGGCGCCCTCCACTCCTAATTCAGAAATAGCCGGACAGGCTGCCTCCCAGGCCCAGAGCTCTACCACCCTCTGCCGGGCCGGCCAGGAGACCTGGGAACAGCGCTGTGCCCGGGACAAGCCCCTTCCCTCCCGGCCCAGGAGAGTTTGGTGGGTTTTTTTTAAATATATTTTATGATTTTTTACAGAGAGGAAGGGAGAGGGATAGAGAGTTAGAAACATCGATGAGAGAGAAACATCGATCAGCTGCCTCCTGCACACCCCCTACTGGGGATGTGCCCGCAACCAAGGTACATGCCCTTGGCCGGAATCGAACCTGGGACCATTCAGTCCGCAGGCCGACGTTCTATCCACTGAGCCAAACTGGTTAGTGCCCAGGAGGGGTTTTTACTGGAACCCTGACACCTCTCCAGAGAGGAGGGGAGGGCGGGGGATGGCAGGGCACCAGACACCTCCTCTTTCCCCAGGGGATGCCTCCAGTTTCCCTCCCTGCTCTCCTCCAGAACCCACCCCTCC